AATCCTGTATAATTCAACCAATCCGATGACGACTTCGAAACTCCTGAAGTGTTTCCAATTTTGTGTGCGATATGCATCAGCTGTTCAGTCAACAGTCTGTGGGCGTCACGTCTGATGCTGAGACTAGGAGCTATTGTTCTTCACAGAAGCTTTGCGTTTATTACAAATGAGCTGATAATATATTTAAACTCAAATCAATATTTTGTGTCCAATTTTTTATTTTATTTATTTTTTATTTTTTGTGGCAAGTTGCCGTCTAACAAGCCGGGGTTCTAATCATCCTGTCGGGGTTTATTTTGTGATAACAACTGTCTGGATGTGCATTATCCCTTATTGGTTAACAAATGCTCAGTAAGAATATTATATGTGTTACTGACAACATTCACAGTAATGCAGAGCACTTACTTGGAACGCACATGTACAATGGTTTGTTCTCTTCTGTTAATAAAATAATTAAACAAACAAACAAAACATTAATAAGAACATAAAAAAATTCTATCACTTCTTCTCTACAGTCATCTTCTCTCTCTGTCCCTCACCTGCAAACACCTCGACTTCACACAGAGTAAGGTATTCATCGTTCCCAGGTAAAAAAATGTTGACATATCGGCCGTTAACAGGCTCAAACTCAAACACTACTGTGCCATCGGGAACATTGAGAAGAGTTGCAACCCTGCAAATACATAAAGAACAGTGTTAAAATGGAAACCAGACGCCTCTAAACACAATGTACATGTCTAAAAAATCGATTAAACTGTACTGAAATCAAATAAGTTTGTATAGCACTCTTCACAATCCAAATGATTGTTCATGTTGTATATCGCATTGCTATAAGAAATAAATGGTCTAAACTTACAAATGTCTAATCACAATATGAAAAAATATGTTCACGTAAAGGATATCTCCATGAAAGTGGCTGACTAAGTGGTTGGAGGAGGTACAATTTTGTCTCCCGTTTTGTCAAACTAGACAGAACATAAACATCGGAAGATGATAATACATTTGAAACATTTCTTACAGCTCATTGTTGTTTCCGTTGTTCTCCAGCTTGTTACCAATACGAATCTGAGCTCCTCTGATTCGCTCTTTGCAACAGTCTACACGATTAGTGATGGCAACCTTGCTTATACTGTAGACATTTCCAAGGTCAGCTCTCCACCATGGGTTAAACTCAGCTTTAGTGTGAGTGCATTCGCCCTTCTCGTAATTTGCATTTCTGTTTCCATCTACTGCACGTTCAGCAACTCCCTGGATGTGGTATAAGGAGGACTGCATCACTCTGGCATTAAGAGCAAGATTCCCTGTTCAATATGATATGAAATTGATAAAAAATTATAAGATGGCTTTGAGGCAATACAAACAAATCAATCAATCAATATACATTTCTCAATCAATAATCAATCAGTTTTTAAATCCAGGCATTTTACTTGTATTATTCTAAACATACCTTTCGAATCAGCGACACTCAGCCCAGTAAAAAGTGTTAGTAACAAAACCACAAGGATGGCCATCCTGATTTAAGACATAACACATTGTCACAAATGGGAGAGGAGAACAGTGGTGGATAGTAAATAAGTATTGTTACTTTGTTACTGTAAGTACAATTTTGAAGTATGTGTACTTTTAATTTTCAAGTATTTTTAATTTGGGAAACTTTTACTTTTACTTCAATACATTCCACATCATAATATTGTACCTTTTACTC